TATCTATCTATCTATCTATCTATCTATCTATCTATCTATCTATCTATCTATCTATCTATCTATCTATATATATATATATATATATATATATATATGAGAACATGAATAAATTAAAGCAGATGAGTTTACAGATCTCAGATTTAAATGAGAATACTTGCTAATGTGTTACTAAAACAAAACTAAAACATATATATACTCTTACTTGAGTAAATATTTAAAATTTGAAATATATTATTTGTCTGCTTATTTGTGTAATTAAATATGCCTTATAATTGTCATTTATAATGAATATAGGTGTATCTAATTATATTGGTTGATTCAGTGGCTTCAAAACTTAGGAGATGTTGTTCACAGTTCTACACTAACACACATATAATAAACCAGTAAGAGAAATAATTTCCATTGTTAAATAAAAATATAAATAAGGACATGACCAGCACATATATATCTGAATTTGTAATATTCTTTATAATATATATTCACTGATTCTGGAATAATGTAAATGGTTCTGGTATTTCAAATTTTAAAAACAAAGCAGTATGATAAAATCTTGAAATTTATTTTCAAAACTATATACAACTGGCCTAAGTGATTTGGGATTATTTTTCTTAGCATATTTACTCAAGGACATATTAAGAAAAGAGAAGAAAGCCTAAGAATTATTGGTGTTTAAATTCCCGTTTTACCCACTGTATTATGTGCAAAGCCCTTCAATCAGTTTTATTTTCATTATAAATGTAGTAGGCAAAAAAAAAAAGATAAATGTAGTTCAAAAAGAATAGACTTAATTACCCCTTTTTATGATTTGATGATGATAACACCAAGACTTTGCTGAGATTTGTTGACACCTTTTAAAAAGGTATAAATGTCTGTGCAAAGTAGGCATCATGCTAATTTTATAAAATAAAGTTTGACTTACCACTAATGGTCAGGATCATCAATATACATGGCAGGAAAAATGAAAAATTGAAATCCATTTTAAACATCTTCTTGCACTGTATGCTGAGAGGATCTAGCTTTGCTGTTAAACCAATGTACTACTCAGGATATGATGTCAGAAGCAGTAACAAAAAATGAAATAAAAAAAAGAACGAATACTGGAAGGATCCAAGATTAATGTAGAATCAAAATAGAATGGAAGGTTGTTTGGTTGACTGACCTCATGCTATAGCCACATTAGCAAGATGATCTATTTCAATGGCCATATACGCAGGAAGTGGGGTGTGTAAGAGTAAATTCAGAAGATGAGATGAAATAGTAATCTAAGCAAGACCATCTTAGCCTACAGGTCAAAGCTAAGAAAAAAAAAGCAAATTCTGACATTACACCAGTTTCCTGTTTTTTTAAGTCTTTTCTTAAATAGATGAAGCGAATAATGACAGGTTTTTTTTAAAAAAAATGACTAAAAACAGTGAACCAAGCTAGTTGCAAACACCGTGTGTTGGAACAAAAGTGCAAAATTGGTACCTGCCAATATATTCTAAGCATGAAGGAGAAATGACATTTATGTTCTACATCTATAGAAAGAGAACCAACAGGGAAAGCTTAAAATCTCACCAAGACATGTTACTTATAAACAATATTACAAGTCACAGTGAACATCTGTAATCTTCCACATGTAGTTGGTCTCCAATTGCTTATCACCTCCAGCTTGTATAAATCATGGTCAAGATGGCAAATGTCATATAACATCTGAATTGTCATATATTTATATCCATTCAGTTCTATAAGTGAAACTTCATATATAGCCATTCACTTCTATAAGTAAAACAGTATTTCTTATGAAATATTAAAAATAATCTACTGTACTTTACCAACCTAACAGTGATCAAAATTAATGACTAGTTTGTTCTCTGTCTGTCTGTCTGTCTGTCTGTCTGTCTCTCTCTCTCTCTCTCTCTCTCTGTGTGTGTGTGTGTGTGAGTGATGCGTTCACCATTATAGTCAATTAGCATGCACTGTTTGCCTGGCTAATTTTTTTCTTTACTCACAATAGAAAAACTTTGCTTAAACAATCTCAACAATGTACCGTGTCTCCAACAGGTATCATAAGATAACAAGCTCAGCATTCTGCCCTTAATTAGATGGCTTGTAGCTGCTGCCTGTAACTGACAGACTTTAAAAACTTTCACACCAACAGGTTTGTTTCTCTCCTAAGCAGCTTGGGACACATACCCATGAACATTCTAGTCAAGCAGCAGCACTCATGCATTCCCTTCAATGTGTATTCCCCATTCTGCATTTGCTTACTTTCTTGTATTTTTCTTTTTCTTTCCAGTGAATTTAAATAAAAACATGATTTCCCTTCTTGCTATTATTCCTGTACTGCAGTGAGCATTCCAAAGACTGGGAGTAAAGGGAAGCTGAAATAAAATCGCAGACATGGGATTTTTCACTTAGCAACTGTATTACTTGACTGGTTCCCCCATTGTGGTTGTTAAATCAAGATTACCTATAATTGGACTATGTCAGAACAAGTCCAAGAATGAAATGGGACAATCTAGCCAGAGTTCAGTTCTTTATTTGTTTACATACAGCAGACAGAATCTTGAAACTCTTACTACTCTTAGCCTAAGAATATACCCTGGAAGATTCTAGGACATGGATATCATCACCCTCTTCATCTGTCTGCTATGGGGATTACGCTACCTCTTGTCTCCATCTCATTTCTGGAATTAGCTCCCTCCTTCCTGAGAAACTGCCATTTTACTGTAGTCCATCACCCCAGCTTGCCTTCCATAGGCATCATTTCTCATAGTAGTTACCTTCAAACTATTGCTAACCTCAAATAGAATCTGAATGTATGTGTGTGTATATTAATGAATTAAGTCAAAGAAGAAATGAAGGATTAGATCATTAGCATCAGAATGTAATTGGTTCCCTTTCTTTGTGCATGCTATGGCTTCTTTTCTTTGCTAGATCCTACCTACCTTTATCATTATTGCCACTTTCATGGCAACCAGATGACTCTAATATAGGAAAAATAGCAATAATACAGTAATACTGATAGCAGCATTCTCTTTTCAATATTAATACAAATTTAAGTCTTGCTTGTATTAGAGCTGCATTAAATATGCAATTTTCACCAACAAAGAAATATAGCATATACAATTGTTGTGAATATTATATTAATTATCTGTATGGTATAAGTATACACCGATTTGCACATATATTTATCCAATGTACTGTATATAATATATCTTCCATTTAGTGGCAAAAATTCTATTTAACAAAAAAAAATAAGCAGAGTCAAGTTTATAGTTAGTATGTTGGTGGATTCTCCACCTACCCCCAAAATATCAGACTCCATTGCTAAAAGCAGTAGAACTGACTGAAGGTCATGATAACTTAATTTTGTCTCTACTGCTCTCTCTTTTTAAAAAAAAATCAGTGATCTAAGATGTGACAAAAATAGCCTTCCGTGAGAAAAGCAGTCATCTGAATCTCCAGACATCTGCAGGCCAGCACAGAGGGGAGAAAAGACATTTGCAATTAGAAAGGTACCCATGGATGCCCTTGTCCTTTGTGTTTTGGATTTGCGCCAACTCTATGCTAATAGGCTGCTCCTCTTCTCCCATCCTAAATAAAATAGGTAAGACGGAGAGAATGGGATCTTGCAATTATGTTTGTATTTGCACAGCAGCATCATGAGCTATAAAAGAGCCAATCCCATTTCGCCCTGCGTTATTGGACAATCCAAAATGCGTAGTTCCTGGCGGATTTACAATGTCAGGTGGACTTAGAAATGGCAATTATTCTGGCTATTCTTGCTGGTCTTCTAGGTATATCTATTCTGAGAATAATAAAGGCCCAAATGTGAAAATAGTGTATATAGGTGAACAGAGAAATATTCAGGAGAAGATTGCAGTCAGGTCAACTTCATATTTAAAGAGACCTTGGGCTTTAGAAGAAGTTCCTCTCATTTTTGAGTAACAATGGCACATAGCAGTAACATTTTAACCAGCTCTCATCACTAATAGCTGCCTTTTTAATTTGCTATAATGTCAGAGATCAAGACTATATTAGAGACCTTGTTGGAAGTTCATATAATAGCTGGACCCAAAATTTTAGAATGTAAATTATTTTTGAAGAGAGAGTTGGATGAAATTGATGGGGGGGCGGGGGCTCTGAGACTAAGACCAAAACTTATGGTAGCTTTAACTTCCTTCTTTTCTAGGTAAACATAATAGAAAATGGCAAGAAAATCTTCCTGCACTTTCTTAGCAATTTTTGTTCAGTATAGCAAAAAGATAAATTATTTCTGATGGAAAAAAAAGTTTATTTTAATGACAGCAATTGTCTTTTTCAAGGGAGAAGAGAATTCTGGATGATTCTTATGAGTGGAGCGCTGATGCACTGAACAAGATGGCAAAGGTTATATGAACATATTACACGTTCATCTCTTAGTCTAAAGCTTTCCTAACTTTCTACATACCAATCAATTTCCCAGGACAAACAGAATGAAATAATTCTTTCTCCTTTTTTCAGTAATAGTATTACCATCAACCTGCAGTGGAATGCTGTCCTTGAGAAATTGTTGGAGAAATGCTACTTTTGTCTCTTTTCCATCCAACAAATTTGGTGAAGAATTTAGAAAAACTATTTAAATGTGAAGCAAACAAAATTAAGATTTTTTTCTTGAACTAAATATTTAGTGTGTAAAACAAATTCAGTTATATCTAAAATGACTTAGGATAATAGTTAGGTTTCCCTTGTCATTCAGAACTGAATTTCCAGGTTTCCTGGCACAAGGTAATTTCTTAAAGACATGAATGTATGATGTTGACCTAAACCCACCTATATTTCTATTCATAGCCAATTGCTAATGAAATTTCTGTGTAGCTGCATATCAGAGGTAGTATTTTTCATATTTTGTAACTCAAACTGTGTGGTGCTGTTTCCATTCTGTGCTTCAATTCCTTTAAGAAAAACCCCTCCACTTCTGTTAGGTACTATGCCAGCCATGGTCAGAGCAAAGTAAGAGGTTGAAATTCAGAAAATGATCCTTTAAAATGGCATTATTTCCAGCAATTTTATGCACTGGAATCAGGCAGCTGAGTGCTAAAATGTGGGAAAGACTTTTTCCAATTCTAATTCTTTTTCTAATTCCTCACTCAAAGAACCATTGGCAAGTTCTTGCTTTTGCATTTGCTGTCCCTGATTCCATACATCCACTTCATTTAAAGTCATGTGTGAAATGTCAATAGCACTATTGAATAAATGAGAAGAACAATTAACACTTGATTTCCACAAATATAGAAAACTATTACAATAGAATGGACCTGCTGCAAATCCCATCAGCCAAAAAGTGTTGACTAGTGGGAACTAGAAGTTGGGCTTGCTTTTTTTCTTTTTGTTTTTGCTGTAGCTTCTGCCTTATGGAATATTCTCCTCATGGAGATTAGAATGGCCCCAATCTGTTAGCTTTTCGCAAAGCTTTAAAAACCTGGCTATGTACCCTGGCCTAGGACTTGGAATGTGTTAAGGCCCCATTATTTGGCTTTACTATTAGTTGATTAATCCTCAGAGCTGCTGTTTATACTTATTTATTTTCTGGGTGTTTTTATTTTTTTAATATTTCATAATTTTAGAATTATAAACTGCCAATAGTCACTTGATTGAGTTTTGTGGCTATAGAAATTGAATAAATAAAAACTCAAAGGTAAAATTCAGGGTATAAGCGTTTGGTTTGAAGGAAAGGCAATGCGTGTTGTCTTTCTTCCAAACCAATATTAATTATGATATTTAATTAATATACTTTAATTAAGCATATTTAATAATTATTAAAGTAATATTTCCAATCAAGCATACGATTAAATCAAATATTGATTATGGTCATAGACCAGCATGAGGAAGGTACGGCAGTCAATTAAAAAGCATAGGTGATCCATCAGAATAAAAAATATATATAAAAAAACTAAAAGATATTAAAAAAGGTGTATTAAAACAGAAAGCATACATAAAAAAACAAAGTCTAAAAGGAGAAGGGGG